AATATATTAGAGAACAGCAGTCCTAAGGAGCTGGGCTCTTCTGCTCCTGTAACTCACACTTCCAGCCTCAAGCATGGGGATACAGTGTGTGTAACTATATCAAGGACCTAGGGGTGGGAACTGTCCTGTTGGTATGGTAAAAGTCTTGACTCTGCACTCAGCTGTACATAATGTCCCTTTAATACACTAAAGCTAATATCTGCTTATATTGACTTCGTCCTGAAGTGAGAGGTGTTAAGGTGAGGAGAAGGAAAGAAGGTAGACATTAGTCTGCCCTTCTGGCAGGATTTGGCAGGGTTTCATAGAGAACCTGTACTGTTCCTGTCAAGTATCATTTGACTTCACAGCAATAAATGTCCTGTACTGCAACATCTATGTTCTAGGAATATAATCTGATAAAGCAAGTCAGTCCTTAAAGATAAGCTTTATATTCACTTTGTCAGGCTAGTTCATAGCTATCTAGGCTCCACTCAGAATTGTGTTTGCTCTGCCTTTTTAGGCTGACTTTTCTGTCATGTGGTTTGTAATGAGCTATGATGTCTAGGGCTTTTCTGAGGAGTTGCTACCATGCTGTCTCTGCTATATTTTGTGTCAGCACATACCTGGTGAACTGTAAAGGTCTGCAGTGCCCTTATTGAATTGCTTTTACTGTTTTCAGACATATTTTCTATGTGTTGAAATAATTTTCGATTCTAAGCCTGTTACCAATGTGTCTGGCATTTTTGCTGGATTTCCTATGGATTTGACAAACTTACTGTGCCTGAATCCAAGGTATTTATGAAAGTACTGAATAGTGCTGGATCCGGAACAAACCCCCAAGACCTGCTCTTACCCCTCTGCTCTGGCAGTGAACAGCTAATAATTATGCTCCACTAGTAGCTTTCCAACTAGTTTCACCCATTCTGCAGTAGTTTCACCCAGACTATTACTTTTCTAGCTTGCTAATGACAACATCTTAACAGCTCCTACCAAAAACATTATCAAAGTCATGGTGTATCTGTCTCCTGCTTCTCCATACCCTTGAGCCTGATTATACCATCACAGAAGAAAATTAGATTGGTCTGATATGACTTGGTCTTGACAAATCTCAGCTCCTATTTATTACCTTGTTATCTTCTTGGTGCTCATAGATAGATATTTGGTTACTTGTTGATTGTTTATCGATTAGCTGCCATTCTGGAAGCTGAGGCCAGGCCCTCCTAGCTGTCATCCTCTGAATCGTCCTTTTTCCCCTGTTTGAGGAGAGCACAAAGAGATACTGTCTGAGATAAAACTGCAAGTGAGACTTAACTCTTAACTGGCAATCATTTCCTAGTGCTCTTTTACCACTTTTTGATATATAAGTAATGCAAGGATCATAGTATCTAGAAGAATTACCCCTGAGAGTTCAAGTTCAAATATATCATGGCTTTTAGGGCAATAAAGGACCTTCCTGTCCCTGCCCGCTCCCTGGGACTCTCCCCTCCCTGCCTGCAGCCAGGACCCCAGGGTCTCACAGCCCCAGTGATGCTGCAGCAGGGCTGGTCTCCAACTCTCAATAGCTTCGCCCTGCCCAGCCATGGGCCCTGCCAAGGTGGGCCCTCATCCTGTCTTTCCCAGAGAGGTGCCAGATTCCCAGGGGTGGGGCTGTCCTGGTGCCCCTGCCCTGGTGCCCACTTCTGGCTGGGGCATAGGATGGTCCCCAGCTGCCAGACCCTATGTCCCACTATAGGAACTCCCAGCCCCTGCTGGGAAAAATGTCTCCTGAAGACATGTTGTCATTTCCAGCATTTTCTAGTATGTTCCTGACAACGTAAACCAAAACCAGCAGTTGCTTTTACAGGACTTGGAGGGACAAGAGATATGTATCTAAGGGCAAGCCAGTGATTGCAAAATATTTAAAGGTGTGTGATAAGCTGGGCTTTTGCTTCAAATCAGCATTGTTTTCTAGGGCAAAAGGAAAACGAGAAGTGGAAGCCGAGTTAGACAAAACTCTTTGTATAATTTAAGGAAAGAAAAGAATTCAGTTTTTAGAGGTATGAAAGTAATTATTTTCTCATCATACTGAAAATGCAAATTCAAGGAAGATTCTAGGCAGCAGGCTGTGCAACCAGCCATAAAAGTAGCCAAGATGTTCCTGTAATGCAGCACCATGCCCAGGTGATATGGTGGTGGCTGCAAGGGGCAGAGGGGATGGCAGCAGCATCCCTGGAGAAGGGGTGGCAGAGCAGGACATTGTCCACCTGGAGAAGCGGAGCAGAGACAGACACACCCACTGGAGTGTGCCTATGTGTGTCCTGCACAGGGGCAGATCCATAGAACATTGGCTTGGTTGTGCAGTGGCTGAAGTAATTTCTCAGTGCTGAAAATAAAAGCTCTTTTTCTTTTCCCCATGAAAAGATGTTTGCCTCATTCTTGTATGGTGAGAAAGGGAAATCTGAGCATCAGGCTGACTTTGGCTGTATTAGGCATAATTTTATGGGCCACTTTATTTTTTTTTTTCCTGAATTAATTCATCTGTTCTCCAAATGGAATAGTCCTAACCTCTAATTTCTCTTCATCTTCCAGTAGCTTTCCTTTCAGCTACAGGCTTGACAAAGCTTGTGCTCTGGCCACGGCTGCTGGGCTGTCACTGATTTCATGTAACTGCTCACGATGGTTTCAGTTTTCTCTATCCCATTTACAGTGCACTCAATTTGCTACATTTCCCATCTCAGCAGACCGAGTTCAGGGTTTCATTTGAGCTGTCCGCAGGGATGCTCAGATCTGTAGCCTGAGTGGTCGCGGTTCATTTGAAATCCATCAATGTACATGAGTAGTCCAATTTATTTTTTCTAATGTTCATTGTCTTGCACTTCTTTGTGCTGAATTTCGTTTGCCATTATCTTATCGGACTGTCTGGTTCTTCTAAGTCTGTCTGTACTGAAGGATAGCCCTTGTCAGAGAAAGTGGCTGAGATGAATGTTCTTCTAAGCACTGTCCTGCTTAAGGAATTTGCTGTGGTGTTGGGTCTCTTGAGTTCTTTCCCAACCCATTAAGATGGCTCAACCAATATGCTGTGTGATACTGGGAACCATTCTCTGGTCTCTTGCCCTCTGTAACTCCTGAAAGGAGACCTTTAGCAGAGGGAGAAATGTGATCAAGCTTAGTATTAGGGAGCATCCAAGCTATTTTACATAAAAGGATCTCAAAATCTGGGGATTACCTAGTGCTTTGAATGAGATGTGTAGGTGCTGGTATCTGTCTCTTGCAGGAGTTTTAGGGAGCTCTAGCACTCCCTTGCAAGGCTGGCAGTATTTTTCTTCATTATTTGGTCTATCAAACAGCTACCACAGACAATTTGTTAAACTACTTTTATTGTATAAACAGTCTTGGTTGCTTTATAAGCAACTATTTTAAAGTCTGTAGGTTGTTTCCAAACAGAATCACGTACCCAAGAGAGGGCCAGAGCTGGGCCTGTCCTCCCTCCTTATGACCCTGGTGAATGGTTTTTGGGTGCACTGACTCTGTGGCCTAGGAAAGTTACATGAAAATTGAGAGGAGAGGGACAGCCCTGGTCTTTTAACTCTTGTGGGGTACTGGGGCTAGTCATGGGCAGCTTTCAACTGTATCAAGGACATCTGTGAGACTGGGCCAGTCTGAGCAAGGCACAGCTGGGAACCTATTAAATCAGCTCCTTTCTGTTTGTATTGCAGTAGTGATTGTTGAAAGGCTGAAACTGCTTTTCCTCAAAATGCAGTGTCTCAGCCACCTTGGCTGAGACTGCTCTCAGACATTCATTGCCTAGAAGGGTTTCCAAATGCCTGCAGTCTCACACATTCTCTGTAACAGGTGCTAAAGGGAATTTGGCTCTGCCTGTGCTATCAGGAAGAGCAGCTTTCATCCCAAGCTCAGTCAGTAAGGATAGCGAAGGCTGCAATTTTCCTCAGAGATGGCAGATTTAACATCCTATCTGTGGGGACTCCTGCTTTCCTTTCCAGGCTCTTGCCTGTCCTGCCTTCCCCCATACCTGAGCAACTTCCAGATGTGTGGCAATGTCTGAACTTATTACCTCTGTCTAAACATGGGCCAGCTGCTCTCCCTGATGCTCTGATGCTTGTCTCTGCTCTAGATGACGAGGGCTCCCCCAGCAGAGAAGAGTAGCCGGCGGGCTTTTGACGAGAAGGCTTACTTGTCCTCCAAGGTGCTGAAGGCTGGAGAAGACCCCTACCGCCAGCACGCTTTTAACCAGCTGGAGAGCGACAAACTCAGCAGCGACCGGCCCATCCGGGACACCAGGCACTACAGGTACCCTGCAGCCCTGCTCCGAGCCACGGCTGCTGCTTGGTGCAGGGAGTCCACTGCTCTCCACTGTTGGTCTGTCATGTTGACAAAGCATGTTTTGGGGTTTTTTTTGCCAGCTATGGTCCACTGTTTCACTGATTTTCATGGTTCATCTAGAAAGGTCTCAAATGCTTGGAGAACCTTGACAAATTCAGTCCACATTTTGAGACTTTTCTAACATCTTTTTCCAAGTCCAAGCATCATCTTGTTTTAGCATAGCCCCTCCACTGCAGCTCAGATTGCTCATTGGACAGTTGTGTTTTGCCCAGCTGCCCGCATACTCATGGCTTGCCTCGGCATCCTTCTGTCCTGGCTGCAAAGTACACCTTTGTTGCAGCTGTGCTTTACTCTAGAGTTCCTCACCTGCTGTGCCCTGCCTGTTGGAAGCTGGTTTGGTGCTTCTTTCCATCCTGAACATCACTGGGTGAGGGCTCCTGGGGTAGGAATGAAACTAACATGCAAATACAGTGTTCCATGGCTTGTCATTCTGTCCTTGTTTCACTGAGGACAGTATTTATTCTGATGAAAAAAATTGTCCTTAAATTGCTAATAGTGCTTGGGGAACTATTTTGTAGTTTCTGGAGGACAAAAAGGTAATGCTTTAGTACAAAAAGATTCTTGAAAACTGTAGGTTTAATAGTAATAGGATAGTGTAGAACAGTCTACTTCAGTCTACTTCTAGTTTTAGACTTAAAACTATGTATGGTTCTAGGTATGACATGGTTGCAAAGCAACATTTCACAGCAGCTGGGAACAGGAAACCAGGCATCTCACTTGATTGAAATTGTGAAAGGGATGCCAGGAGATGTGGAGCTTTGTGAACCTGCCAGCACTGACAGCCTTCAGAGTGCTTTTTGAAGGCAAGCAGTCAGGACCATGGTTGTGGGATCCAAGTCTTGTGCTGCTGTTCTCCAGCATAGTATTTGGGACTGGCTTCCTAGTGACCCAGAGGTGATGCTGCCATGTTCTGTGCTGCTGACAAGTCTCCCTGCCATGCAGAATTGCTGTTTTCTGTTAATCTGGTGTCATGTTCTGGCCTAAAACCAGCTCACTTCAAAAGTGAAATATTGTTTATTTTGATCTGTGATAGCAAGCAGAGCATGCTTTTTGTGAAGAGCCTCGTCTGTGCACTTCAGTCAGAAGAGGAAAATACGTGTGATTCCCTGTAAATGTATAGCCATTTCAGACCCAGTTTTTCAAGGATTCCCTTGAGTAATGGAGAGTCCAAAGTACTACAGAATCAGAACAAATAAACCTATTTCCATGTTTCTCCCCTTTACAGGGAGTAATTTGGGAATGAGCAATCTGAATTTGACTATCTTATAACAATATTGGAATAGTTGCTGGGATGGCAACTCGGGATGAGGACTTATTTCAGCTGATACAAGTTAGATTGTCGACCTGGCTCTTTGTTTAGGGAATGGGGGGAGTCTGTAGATCACTAACATATCTATTTTTCTTCAAGCACTCAAGCCAGAACATGGACATACTTGATTTCACATCCTACAAACTCCTTCTGACTTAGCATGTATCTGTTTCTTTGATCCAAAGCAGAGAGGGTCGGCTTTCAAGCCCAAACCTTGTCCTTGTTCTCTGTGATGTTGTAGTAATGCTGAAATACTGGGAAAAATTCCCCAAATAACACATACATCAGCCTCTGCTGCTTTTCCACTTCCTGATTCCTTAATACATTTTGTATGTACTACATCATGGAATTATTTTGAAACAATAATAAATATAGTCTGTCTCAGGTCTGTTCCCATGTTGTCCATTTTAGTCTTTATCAGGTTTCTCTATATGTCTGAAAATTTCTGTATGAAGCTGCTGTCCCCTTAATAAAACACTGCAATGAAAAAGTCATAAACCAGTAGGATTGAAAGTGATGATAAAACCAGTCATAGTTTAGCAGTAGGCATAAAAGAATAGTAAGTAAATGGTGAAGTACAAGTAGTGGGTTTAAGTGAATTGTATTCCCTGTCTCCTGATGATTCCCTGCTGCAGATTCAGTCTATGTAAAGCCTTGAGTTGTTAGAAGTAGCTGTGGTTTTGCCATCAGACAGAAAATTAGAGCACACTGACTGCAGTTTGACATCACCTGGAAGCTAAGACAGATGCTTTGGAGGAGCAGGTCAGCCCAAATCAGCCATGCTTAGCATCTGCCAGAATTGGATTCAGGATTCACATCTGTGAGTTGTTCCCCTCACAGAAACTTTGTTATCCACAGGGAGAAATAGCCTGGTGCAAGTTAATCCTTGTGTCTGAGTGTGAGAATGTGTGTATGTACTTAACATTATAAAGTCAGAGGAGAAGATAGAAAGAATTGCTCTTCATTGCCAAGAGGTCCATTAGTGTTGAGCCTCAGCAACTCCCCAACACAGATCACAGAACTAGCTGGTGTTTTCCTTTCTGTGAAATTTGTGTCCAAAGAGTTTGAAGTGCTTTATACAGCAATGCCTGGGTGTACCAGCTCATTGCATCCTTAGCATGTCCATGTCCTGTGCATGAATAAACAAGATGTTAAAATCCAGGGACTACAACTGAAACCCAAGACTGAAACTTAGTTGACTGTAAAACCCACATGGCCTCTTTAGCATGAAGTTTTTTGAGTTTGGTATCTCAGCCTCCATATGTCACTTTTCAATAGGCACAGTTCTTTTTGAGCTCTGCCAGCCTTGGTGCAGCTCCACTGTGCTGGTTGAGCATATTGCTCTCTTTTTAGAAATTCCAGGTACACTGTTGCAATAGCTACTGCTAGGCAATGTTTGGCTTACACTTGTGCTGTCCTGTGCTGCAGGTGCACTTCTGTACGCTATGACACTGACTTGCCAGCCACCAGTCTCATCATCACCTTCCACAACGAGGCACGATCTACCCTGCTCCGCACGGTGAAGAGGTGAGTTCAGCTGGGGTGCCGGGCCTAGGGGGTAGAGTCTGGGGTGCTCTGGGGGAAAATTAGGCATTTTGCAGCAGCTAGACAAGCAGGGTGGCTGCAGTTCCCCAGGTGATAGTGTTCTGCTCTCAAGATGGCCCACTAGGACAGGCCAGAGGCTTGGATTGGTGTTGTGGGTGTATCTTCAAGTGCAGAGCATATCTGCAGTTAGCCCTTGTATGGCTGCAATTGGGGGAATCATGAGCAGCAAGAAGGATAGCTGTCCTGCATCCACAGGTGAAAACAGTCTCAAGTCTCACCCAAGTGTGAGATTAGATTGGAAGAGTGAGGGGGGTGCAAAGAGAATGCTGTGTTGCTGGGTGCAGTGACTGAGCCCTTGCTCAGGGTTGCTTGCTGGTAAAAAATTACTGAACCTGATGGCCCATCAGGTGTACCCTGGGCTTTGCACACAGCTCCTGCTGAGCCTGCAGGACACTTGCTATCTTGTGCCAGTGTCTCCTCATATCCGAGTAACAGCAGTGGCCAAATCTAGCCAAATAAATAGGTGGCATAGGGCCTGTCAGCAACCCCAAATAGATGGAGGCTTGCAGTCATCTGTACCACAATGCGATGTTCCAGCTGCTCCTTCACTGCCCTCTTCCATCACTCCCACAGAACCCAGGGAGGCTCTTTTACTTTTAGCTCCCACAGAAAAAAATGCCCTCTGACTTACTAAGTAATTTCTCAAAGGGTCTCTGAAGCTTGCAAGCAAGCCCAGGAACAGCCTTTGAGGCTGAAGGGAGAGTGAATTGTCTGTGTAGCAGTTTGAGCTGATGGTATCACTAACAGGAATGCATTATTCATCATTGCCACTTCTTCCCTTTACAGGTCCTGTGGACTTAAAGAAATGTGCAATGTGAATAAAGGACAGGCTTTTCCAAGTTGGCCTCATGTCTAGAAGGCTGGGTTTCTGCCACCAAGTTTGGTGTTATTGTGTTTCCAGAGACCCGTATATATTGCATTGGCATGTTTTGTCTTTTTATTTCTATCATTTTCTTTTCATTTCAACCATACAATGAGTTCTGCAGAGTCACTGTCCAGAAAATGGACAGACTTGTTTGGAATCATGGTGCTGCTGGGGCAGCTGGAGGTGATTTCTGCCTTTTCAGTCATGGGTCAGACAGTAAATAGGTGCTGGGAAACCATGGTAGTATGTCCGACTTTTTCTTGTCCTGGAATGTGATCTTGCCAGTCTTGGATGTGGTCTCCTGCAACCAGAGCCCCCAACAAAGACCTTGAGAAATGGGTGACCCATCTATTCAGATTGGTCCCTGCAGTGCTGCTGCCATTGGAGGACTGCTGTTGTGAGGAACTGGCTGCACTCTGCTGTGAATGGTGTAGTGGATGGAATTTCCTCACTGGGGCCTTCATTGCCAAATGGTCTACAGCCAGTGCTTGTGATGGATTTACTCCTTCCTTAAATCACATCAGAATTGTCAATAATTTATCCCTGTGTCATGAGAGATCCTGAAGGCCGAGTTCTTGGGCTCTACAGTATTTGCAGTGCCACACAACCAAGGATTGGCTATAGCTTTGTCTTTGAGCACTGAAGGTTTGACAACCATACACAGAAGTAAAGGTTCACATCGTGGCTGCGCTGCTAGAAGAGACATAGGAATAAGCCTGACTTACAGGTTGACACTGATGTTATAGAAGAATTTGACAGAGCTCTTCAGGGCATCTTCTGTAACCTGAGAGTCCCATCTTTCAGCAAAACTCATCTGAATGTGCCAGGCTGAAGTACTGCTGTGAGAGTAGTTGCTGTTCAAGTCACACACACAGTCAGTGCAGCAGTACTATGTAATTACTTTGCATCCCTGGCACTTCAGGAGAAGTCAGGTATCAAAGGGACAGGACTGTTCTGTTGGGTTCATGACCTGGCTGTGAGTCTGTTGAGGACCACAGCAGTATTAAACAGCAGGAAGCTTAAAATTGCACTGCCTGCTTACCTGCTGACTAGTCAGGCTTCCAGCTTGTCATTATTTCTATTACCTGCAAGAGCTTTCTTAGACCAGGTAGAGCATGATTATTTGGATAATTAAAATGAATAATTTGAGATGCATCTGGTGAAAGTTAAATATGATTCCACTGTTATAATGGGCCTTTTCCCAAGTTCAGTTATCATGATTACACTGTGGGGATGCTATAAGAGAAATGGGTGTGAAGGAGGAAAACTGATGAAAATGAGCAGCACTAAAAGCAAAACTTTTTATGTCTGAAAACATTTTTAGAGGCCTAATCTTTTGAGGTGAGTAGAAAATGTATTACCAGTTGAAATTTTCATATGTGAGGTCTTTGCAAGTGTGGCTTTTTAGTATCTGTATTTGGGCACTCAAAAAACCAGCCATAAGACTTTGGGAAATTCTAGAATTAAATACATGAAAGGAGTACTGGGATTGAACTGATCTTAAACCCAGAGGGAGTTCAAGTGCACTCCCCTGAGCCAGATACTGGTTTATTGCAAGGTAATTTAACAAAGTGGCAGTGCTGCTACCAGAAGATCTTGGGAAGTGACCCAGGGATGCTACTCCTGCATCACAGGCTTATTTCAGGATGATCTAAACCTGGCAGCTCTAGGGGCCAGATCCTGATCTGCATACCCTCTTGCTAGCCTCACATGCATGTGTGAACACATGGAGTTAAACACCTCTGGCAGCTCAGCAGTTGCCTGCTCTCCCTCCTGTCTCTGGGATCTCTGCTGCTGGATGGAAGCAACAAGAATGATGTGCTGTTGTTGCTCCTTGAGGATGGGAGAAATGTTTGTGTATGAGGGAGAGGGGGAAATAGAGGAGTGACCTTGAAGAGGAATAACAAGAGGAATAACAGTTCCTTCAAGTACCCTGTTGTTTGTCCCTCTGGTCTTCAGAGGCAGCATGGGCTGCATAGGTGCATTCTAGTGTGGGCTCTAGCCATATGTTTTCAGTGTAGAGGGAGGCAACTGGTTAAAAATATCCAGCACGAGTCTAAAGAAGAGAAATGGGGGGGAAAAATTGGCTATCAGACAAAACCTGTGAACATGCCAGTTCAAATGGCTTGTTGCTGGCATCCTCAGTCCTGCAGGAGATGTGTGTCAGTCAAGAGCTGCTTGCCTGTTTTGATCTCTTTTCTTTGCTAGGACATAGCTGTCATTCTCAAATCAGTCACTTGCTTGGCATCCTGCTCTCCTTCAGAAACAATTGTCTCTCAAAAGGCATTTTATGTGATTGATGTCTATGCATGATTAATTTTTAAGCCATACCTTCACTTCTGCTGCCGTGACCATTCTCGCAGAAGAGTAAGTCAAGTGCTTTGTTGCTTGGTCCCTCTCTTTCTTATTTCAGAAAGTCATGATTGCAAGGATCTTTTGGTTTTGGTGCAAGTGTAAAGGTGAATTGTGAAGCTCTAAGTCAATGGATTTGAACAGCTATCAGTGGTTCAGTGCTTATGCAGGTGGCCTGTAAAAATTCTGATTAAGAGGATGCTGTTGTAATGTTAGAGCATTTGGTGTAGCATCTCATTACAATGACAATTTAAATAATGGAAGAAAAGAATATTATGTTAGAGCAAATGTTGTTTATTCTGCTAACATCCAGAATAAACAAGATTATCTTGGAACTCAGGGGAGGATGGACAAAGGAGAGAAACTCATTGGCAGCTGATGTCATATTCGTGCAAGAGAGTAAGGACTCTGATACTGAAAGAAGCTGTGAGAAAAGGCAAAGGAGACAGGGAATCCATGAGATATGGGGGGAACAGTCCATGTTTCTGCTGTAAAAGGCAATTGTCACTTGAATTTTGGAATTGTAATAATGCATTTTGGTGCTGCAAAGTCGTGGCAGTCTCTGCGCCTCAGTGAGGGGAAATATTAGGATTACTGTGCTCCTTGTTAAAAAGACAGGGATGACAAAGAGCAAAGAAGATTAAGTACCTTTCCCAAGGATCTACAGCAAGTTATTGCAGAGCTGACAGAAGAGCAGGGCACTGTACAATGAGCTGTGAACTCCTCAAGGGATGTGTTCTCTCTACTGGGGAATCAGTGGACAGGTAAAGAACAGAGAACAAAATGGGGCTTTTTCCCCAGTTATGTTGAGTTGAAAGACCTGAAACTTGTGGAGAAAATGTGAGCATTGCCAATAGCGAAGCTAGTGGAAGAAGGTGTAGAATACCATTTTGCAGCCATTATACTGCAGTCTGTCTGGGTTGTTTTGCATTGTGTTTGCATAGACATAAATTTCAGTTCGGGGCAACCTTGTCTGTAAAATATGCAGATGTGGTTGTGCTGGAAGAAGCTGCACTTAGGACGGCACTGAAGCATCCCTCTACCTCCCACCCCACCATACTAGAGGATCCAGGAAGACATGAACTAAGAGAAGCAAATGAGATTCAGCTTTGGAAAAGGCAAGCTCAGTCATCTAGGGGCATGTCAGCTCAAAATATAAATACTATCAGAGGTGTATAAAGCAATGTGAATCTGAAATAGAGTGGGATGTAATACTGAGCAGCAGAACAGTCAGAATTCAACTTTTTTGCAGAATGCAGAAAATTCTTCCAAACTGAGGGAACTTTGGCTCTGTGTGTAAAGCCATCAGTGGTGTTACTTAATGAGATGGCAATTTACTTCTCTACACCTTCATTCCTGGGAGTATGGGACTATTCTTGTTGTCTATTTCCTATATCAAGCAATAGCAACAACACAATCCAAAAGAAAAAAAAGCCAGAAAATTTTCTCCAGTATTCTTCTGATCAAAAGAGCATCTGCCACTGAAATGAGACAGATTGCTAGAACTAGGACAGTGTTTGCCTCTGTTTTTAGTATTAAAATTTGCATAACTGCCCTCTTCATTGGACTGCCTAAGCATTACTGAGAAACCTTGTTGAAGGTAATGAGGACCTGCCTGTGCACAGAGGTTTTGAAGGAGGCTTGGAGGGGGAACATGCTATGTGATGGTAGTAAAGCCAAGAGAAAGTTTTGAAGAAGTTCACGGGAAAAGACATCAAGCATTTTAAATGAATGAGACTGGTATAAAGAAGTCAGAACCTAACTGCTCAGACTCCGAAGTACCAGAATGCTTTGACGTATGAGGGGGCAGAAGCTTTTCTCTGCTTTCCTCATGTGTGTCCTGCAGATGGAAACTCATTGCAGACCTGAGGGTATTACATGGTATGGTGCAACCAACCTGAGGAAAAGGGGTCCTTTCAGCAAGTGTGGTGCTGGTTTGAAAGACAGACAGGTAACAAGCAAAAGAGGGAAAAAAAATCCAAATCCAGAATATTGACAATGCTTCCTTTCAAAGAAGGGAATTGGTGAGAAAGCCTGATCAGGTGGCATCTGTTGCATTGAGGTAGAGCTCCTTGCTGGGGAAAGGAGCAGCTCTTTATGTCCTCTAGCAGTGATGACTTTCACCCAGAGGCTGGCCGATGAGAATGGCTGCCTTGGGGCAGGTGGTTCTCTCCATTTCACCTCTGTTTAGGGGCAGAGCGTGCTGCAGCACCCTTTGCTGGCTGCCCCAGGCAAGTCTCACAGTCAGCTCCTGGCTGTGGGTCCTGTAGGGTCTGGCTGAGTGACACAGCTCTCAGGGATATTCTCACTTGTAGTTTGGTTCTGCCAATGAACACTGGTACAAGGGCAAGGTCACTACTTCCACTTTACTGGCGTTTGGTATTCCTGCTGTAATGCATAGCACAGCAGATTTCTATCAGTCCTAACATTGTCATTGTTATGGCAGCTGACAAAGTGGCTTTTTCTTTCCTGGGTTCCTGCAGTGTTCTGAACCGCACCCCTCCCAGTCTCATCCAGGAGATCATTTTGGTAGATGACTTCAGCTCAGATCGTAAGTTTGGACCTATTTCCTTTACACTTATTTCTTCCCTTCTGTTTTCCCCTTTTTTGTTTGCTCTGTTGAGTTCCCCTCTGTCACAGATCCCCTCTTGTCTGTACGCGGGAGAAAAAGAGAAGAAAGTAAGTCTGTGTTTAATGTCCATGCATGGCAGAGGCCAGAGATTGTTCCTCTCTTTTTCTTTCCATTGGATCTTCCTTTTCTGTCAGTGTGGCAGTTTTTGCTAGGTTGCCAGAGATCTCTGTCAGGTTTCATTATGCACTGTTTGGTGAGCCATTTAGCACAGATGTATATGTAGCAATGCTGTATGTGGGCATAGCAGGTACTTACAGACTGAGAGGCAAGAAGAGGATGCAGTAGAGTGTACAGAAGATGGCTGCCTGGGCCCTGCAGGCAGGCTGAGGTGAGACTGGCTGTCTGCCTCCATGTGCCTGAGATCCCAGGTGTCCCCGTGGGAAGCTGTGGCAGAGTTACTGCTTTGGACAGCACCATACTTTCTTCTGCAGCTTGGCACAGGGATGGAATGTCTACTGTGTCAGGTCCACCAGAGCTGCAGACTGGAGGCTCTGGGGTCTTTCCCTTTGTACAGTTGCTCTTGCTCCTGGCTGTTGTGTAGTAGTTGTGAGGTGGTGGGCAAAGAAGACTTCCTGCTTCTCCCATGATGTGTTCTAGACTCAAGGACAATCTAGTTATGTACCATTTATAATGATTGATAATTACTCCTTCAGAACACTTTACAGATAGCTGTGAATGCCCACCTTGGCCTGCTGAGGTAAGGAAGCAATGCTATTTTGAGTTTGCAGCTAAATGCTTCTGTAGCTTTGGCCATAAAGAAAACCATTTTAAAGGTGGATGCTGAGATGAGGGATTTGAGTTTCTGAGGGCCTTACAGTGTTTTGAATAAGTACTGAGTTGTGCTCACTTGTTTAATTTCAGTGTTTCTGAGCACTTCCAACAAACAATCCTAAGTGTTCCACATTCTGCACCTAAAAATTAGTTTCTTAAGGGACAAAGTGTTCCAGATCAACAGTGATGGATTTCTGGTGCCTATTTTGTACAGGGCTCAACCATAAACTCCCATTTAGGCTCCTCAGTAAATAGGATGATTTTAAAATATTTTTTAATCTGTCACAGCTCTTATTTTTTCACTGGCAGCTGGATATTTGTGGATATAGCCATTTCTCTGAGACACATTCATGGAGGCACTTCAGCACGTTTGAGGTCTGACACTTTGCTTTAATACTTGCCTTAGTTTCTCCAAATATACTGAGTCTGTCATCTCTGGCAATTATCTACAGGCAGAGCTCTGTGCTCCACTCCTGCAGAATGAAGGACTGAATAGGGATTCTCATACCTGGACTTGTGACTTGGCCAAGATAAGAGCATTGCCTTCCCTTGTAGCAGAGTTCCAGCAAAATCTCGATGCTCTATAATTCGGAGCAGCTGCTATTTCCCTTGGATGATGCAGCATCTGCCAAAGTGCCAATGTTAGAGCAGTATTGCAGATTGCACATATCCTTGAGAATGGAAATGCTTGTACAGGAACGTGCTAAGAGGTGCACTTTGGCTAAGGGCCTTTGCATTCTCCCCAGAGTGCTCAGTCTGTGGGAATATGATAGCAGGAAACAGGAAGTATGAGACGTGTAAAGGAATATGGAATAATTGTGGAACTTGGGAAAAATTTGATGGAGCAAGAAAAAAGAGCGAGTTAGAACTTGCTGTTCTTATGACATCTGCTGGGGCAGGAATAGAGAGAATGACAGAGAACTAAAGACTCAGATCTCACTGGTACCTGGCTGGAGCCGGTAACTGGTCCTCTCTCTTATCTTCCCTAGGTGATGGAAAGGAGGGATGCCAGGAGTTTCTGGCAAGCTGCCAGCAAAGCCCTTGGTCAGGCATCCATGTGTCAATGTGCTGGTGTCTCCAAGGAAGCAGGTCGTATCCCAGTGGCCTTTATTAAATAAAATCTAGCAGAAACTGCCCTGAGAACAAATGGCAGGAGATGCCCGGATGAGGCACTGAAGGCAAAGAGAGCAGATAAGATCACTTTATGTTGCAGAACTCTCTTTTCCTTGGCAGTTTGGTGATTTGTAGTCCCGATTCTCTGTGTTCCCTCCTTTTCATTAGTGCCCAGTGCCATGGTGCCAGCACATGCCCCGTTGTTCTTGTGAAATGCTGAGCAGGGGAGATGAAGGCCTGGCTGCTCAGAGGATTGGGAAGCATGGGCTCAGCTGCTGAGTAGGACAGCAAGCAGGCAGTGCTCTTCTGTGTACTCTGTAGACAACAGGATTGAGGCCATCAGGCTGATTAATGTGATGTTGAGTGAAAGCAGAATTTCCCCTCCCATGGAGAAGCAGGAGGACAGTTAATTGGGGCTCTCTGTTGAAGCCAAATAATTAATGCATGTGTACTAAATGTCTTTTTGCCCTCCCCAAGCTGAGGACTGCCAGCTCCTTACCAAGATCCCAAAGGTCAAGTGTCTACGAAACACCCATCGAGAAGGTGAGTGTGGAAAGCTTTCTAAGTACAAAGATTTTGCCTGGTTTTTCACATGACCCTGGTTGCCTCCCAGCTGCTTATAGCTATTGTTTCTTATAGTTAGAGTTTGTTTTTTCAGTACAAGAATTTGGAAGTTCTGTGGAGGGAGAACACAGTTTATAAACTCTCATGCTTCAGGGGTCCCCTGTAATACTTAAATAATGAGAAATGCTCTCCAGAGGCCTTGACTGGAACAAAGACCACATTTTAAGATCTTTATGAATAAAGATCCAGATGTAAGTCTTGTCCTTTTAAACACAAGCTAGCTCTTGCACTTTCAAGTGCAAGCTAACAAGTTGTGTAGGAGACATGGGAGAAAGAAAAACAATCCAAAACTCCAACATGTATCTATCATAAAGAGATACAATTAAATAAAGTTTTTTCTCATATATCTGCTACAAGCATAAATTACTTTCCCAGTTGCTCTTTAGTTTGACAAACATGTGCTTACTTATTTCTAAAGCTGTCAGTGCACAGCAGGTTTGGAGTGAGGATCTAGAAGGAGAGACAAAAATCACTGTTTAGTTCACAAAAGAGCATCCCATGTAGTGGGATGGCCTGTAAGGAAGTAAGGAGTCATCTAAGAGCCAGGCTGATATCTCTACAGGGCAGACTAAAGGACAATTAGGAATAAAGCGGATGAGCAGTAAGGAAGGCAAAAAGCAGAGAGTAGAATTTGGCCATGGGGAGTTGGTGATGGAGGCAGCAAGGTGCTCAATGGGAGAGCGAGTGAGCAGGCAGCAGCCAGGTGTCTGTGGCGAGTGTTGGAAGAGCAAGGAGCCAGGTGGAAGTTCTGTGTCATGGACAGAAGTGACAGGAGAGGTCATTCATTGTGTGCCAGGAGGGTTCATCTGACTGTCCCCAGGGCATGCCCTGCTCTAAAGCTGCTCTCTGCTCCTGATGGAGATGTGACATAGGAGAATCACCTGCTCTTTTCCTGCAATGGTTGCACAAAGTATTTGTTCTGAAGAGGCTCAAATGTTTCCCTTCCCAACCTTCCTGCTCCTTTGCTGTCCTTTTCTCTTTGTAGGGCTGATTCGCTCTCGGGTGCGAGGAGCTGAAGTGGCAACTGCTGACATCCTCACCTTCTTGGACAGTCACTGTGAAGTCAACAGTGAGTGGCTGCAGCCAATGCTTCAGAGAGTGAAAGAGGTGAGCACCGTGTCCTGCTCTGGCATGGATGGAGCTGGCCTGTCCTGTGCTGTTGGATCCTCTGCCCTCACATGTGTCAGTAGAACTGGTGAGAACAAGGTCTGCCAAGGTACTCCTCAGGCAGGCTGCTCCAGAGGAAGGTACAGCCTGACCTAGATGGGCAAGAGATTCCTGATGGGATTCTGTTCTGCCAGTGTGACAAGGCAGGAGATGCAGAGTGATGGGATGTAGTGCTGAACGTTGCAACCACCAGCTTGTACCTCTTGTCTCTTGAAGGCATTGTGCTTCCTCATCCTGTTCACCTGTATGTAGAGCAGCTCCTTGGGCAGCATACACTGTGCAATTTTTCCATGGTTTCCATCTCCCCTGCTGTTGGACCCTCCCCTCTCCTTTGTCACTGCCAAGAATTTCCTTCCATTAATGTTCCGACTGAGCTGCCACCACACATCACCTGCATGCAGGCAGCTTCCTGCCACAGAGAAGCTGCTTGTGACTGCATGGATGTCCCCTTTTATGATTTACTTGGCAAAGGATTGACAGAAGGCTGGAAGAATGAAAATGAGACAGAAGTATTAGCAGCTGTCTCCCTGACTGCACTGCAGAGCTGGAGGGAGAGATCATACAGCTCTGCTATAAGAAAAGGCAGGGGAGAGGTGATGGGAGAATTCCTGCTTGCAAGTAGCTGTGATTGTTCCCCTCTGAAAGGAGGATCCCATGAAGTAATAGGCTTTAGGAAGGGGTGGAGGCTTTAATGATGCTTTGTAAGTATGTCTGATTAGCTTCATATGAGGGAGCAGAAGAAGGTGAAACTTCAGAATTGATGAATTAAAAGATTCTGCTTTTTACTCTTGTTCAATAAAGCCCATAAATGTTTACTTTACTTAGTGGTCTTTAAGTTGAGCTGCAACACCAGCACAGGGGTTCCTAAGCAGAAAAAACCTCAGTCATTTCTTTAGGGAAGGATTTAAAATGCAAAAATCCTGTGTGCTAACTCTAGTATACAAATTTTTTAGTGAGCAAATTTCAAATCAATCTATTTCTGACCTACTTTCTACATTCCTGATGTACATCCTATTATAGATTTCAGACTTGCCCTAGCCAGTCCTGGTACTGATTGGCTGGAGTAGTGGCTAGCACACCAGGCTGCCAGATGGGTGCTGGAGTCTCAGGCTGGGCAGACACACTCTGGCTGGGCCACCATCACAGCTCAGAGGGGAAAAAACATGAATCCTCTTACCAAGGATGTCCCATCCCCTAGCCAAGTGTGGTACATCATGAAGAACTATTGCAAGGCACAAAATCAAGGTTTGATAGGACAGGCACAGATGCTGGTAGCTGTCCAATAACAAGGTGCTGTTTCTGGCATTGCTAGCTCAGTTTCATCTTGCATGTCAGCTGTCACAACATCTGTCTTTTAATGCCCTGTCTCATGATGTTGAAAAAATTTTCAACTTCTATGTACTAAAAGGATTGCAAAAGAAAACTGTAAATGTCTATATGCCTTAATGGCAATAAAGTACTCACAATGTCTTGATATTATAACATATACAATGTGTCATATGTGTTATAAAGTTTGCACTTTATGAATCTTAAATATGGGGTCTTAAGTCACAGTACTTCTTGGGAAAATGCTTTATTAGGGGTTTGATAATTTCTAGGCTGATGATAATGAGTTCATTCAAGGATGGTTGAGCAGAAGGTGTGCTGTCAATAGATAGCAAAAGCAAGCACAAAACCCTTGGGACAGTGATTGATGCCCTGTGACTTGGGCAGGAAATAAAGAGCTGTTTCTTAGCAGCATCCCTAGGTGTTGGAGTCCGACTCCATTCCCCACATCCATGGAGTGCAGCTGGCTAGTACCCACCATCTCCATGGTTGGATTTAGTGGCCACAGATTGCTTGCACAGTTACCAGAACCCAGACAAAGATTTACACGTGTAACTTTGTGTTTCCTGATCTCTGGTAGCTTTGCTGGACATTCAAGTAAGCCTGACTCCTTTATTTGCCCTCTTTATCTCTCTCCTTCAGGATTATACCCGAGTGGTGAGTCCAATCATTGATGTTATCAGCCTGGATAATTTTGCCTACCTGGCAGCATCAGCAGATTTGAGGGGAGGTGGGTATAATGAATGGCTTATGTAAGTTAGACTTGAGGGATGGTACATGATAAATAAGTTGTGTTCTCTTCAGCTTTCCAAGAAAATAGAGTGATGATCTTTCGGATGGGTTATCTGTCCCTTTTTCTCTGCAACTTGCAAAGTCAGATGTTTTGAAGAGTTAGAACAAAACTCAGCTAGTATTTTCCTCTTGACCTTGAATCACTGTCATAACACTTAGCAGTTTCAGGACTTAGTTAATTGATTAAATATCTCACTGTGTCCTCACTATGCTGCATGTGCACTGGAGTCTGACAGGCACTTCCAATTGCTGCTTTGATCTGCCAGGCTATCTTGTGGCATCTTCTGAAAAGCATTTACACCTCTCCCCTCACACCTGAGCCCCCTGCAGCTGTTCCTGTGTTCATCCCACTACCTGGTGTCCTTCTACATCTTTAGTGGCTGGGTCTCACTTGTGCACTGCTTGGCAGCCAAGGGCTACCTGTTCTTTGGCTACCCTTAACAATGGTATAAAGTTATTGACTATGCTGTGCTCTACTATCCACCATAGGCCATCTATAAGTAGATGGTAGTCTTGAAAGACATGGTGGGTACAGTGATCTGCAGGTCTTTGTTCCCTGAATACATCACATCCTACAATGTCCTTTTTTAAAGCTTTGTAACTCTGGCTGACAGGGTTTTTGCCTTTGGTAAAACAAACTGGCCAGGATAGAATTACATCTCAGCCTGACAACAATTTCCTGAAGGTGTGGAGCGAAATTGAGGAGAGATCTGTAATGCTAAGGAATGATGGTGCCAAGACAGAAGCTAGTGAGGTCTACATTAGGATAGACTATTGCCATTTTGGGAAGACTGTGAGGGAGGTTAGGGAAGGAACATAGGGACAGCCTGTGGTATAAAGGTGCAGACTAGCACTGAAAGCTAGCAGTACTGTTTTTACAATAAGAAAACCAATTTGGCATGTCTTCTTCCTTTTCAGGGTTTGACTGGAGCCTTCACTTTAAGTGGGAACAGATTCCTATAGAGCAGAAGATGTCCAGAACAGACCCAACTCAGTCTATAAGGTACACTCTGACAGACAGGGTACACTTCTCCAAATACCTTTACTAAGACTTCACCAGCATGGCAAGGGGAGTTCAGGGACTGCTTTGCTGGGGGCAAAATGCCACAGTGTTCACTTCATGATGACAAACACTTCATGGTATTTTCTGAATGCATTGAGGTCTATACCCTAAGTGTGAGAGTACTGCTCTCTAAATATTGTATGACATATACACCACCTCTACAAGCCACCTCTTCTTCTGTGTATTTGTTCTTGTGTTCTCCCTAACTCAACACTCCGAATGCCTCAGAAATCTCTTTGGGTCTTTTTAATTACCTCCATCTTTCAGATGAAACCATAAAGAAGGAAGCAGATGAACAGTCATCCCACATGGGTAAAGCAGATCAGAAGACTGAATCTTACCTAGTAATGTGGGCATAGAATTACTCCCACCTATTAAATCCGCATGTCTATGGACAAAAGAGATTCTGTTGGCTGGAACAGTTGTTGCCAGCCTCACTGCAGGGTACATGGCTCTGAGACATGTGGAATGTAACAAATCCTGATATGAAGAGTTAGGGTACTTGTCTGTATAGGCAGACAGCTCTCTATTTGTAGTATACAAGTACCATTTAATTTCTCTGTGTAATTTGTGAGCCTCTGTTTTGTACTCCAGAGCCAACCAGCTTGCTAACAGCAGAGCAGTACATGCAGCAGCCTGTCACACCATGTCTAATTGGTGAACACAGTCATCAGTGTTCATCATTCCTTCACACTGTGCATATTTGTATAAATGCAAAAGACACAGCATTACTCTTGTAGTGCTTGCAAGACCATCTAACCAAAGGCACAAGGATGATCTAGTGAGAGGCATCTTAGAAACCTGCAGCAGGCTCATGTTACATTTCAACTGTTTTTCTCTTTTAAGTGAGGTATGATTTGTGATACCTGGATAATTGTCTTCCCTTTAAAATTAGGTTTGTGGTGCTACATAGATGTATGATTATTTTTTCTGGATTTCTGTTTTCTCTTCCAGAACCCCTGTCATAGCAGGAGGCATCTTTGTGATTGACAAGTCCTGGTTTAACCACCTGGGAAAATATGATACTCAAATGGACATCTGGGGAGGAGAAAATTTTGGTGAGTTCAGGATGTTTCAAGGGAATGACAAACTAATGCAGAACTGCTTCCCAGTCTTCATTGCTTTTCAGAGTTTTTTGTGAGAGATCTGATCAGCATGTCGGTGTAAGGTTAGGGATGTGGTCAGGTAATCCCCAAGGTGGTCAGAGCTGTATCGCTGTCAACTTAAAGTGTGTGCTCAGGGCTACACTCTCCTACAGGCATATGTGCTATTATACAGGAGCTAGCATACAACAAAAAAGAAAGATGAGCCTCTTGGTATTTAAATTGTTGCTTGTTTTTGGAGAATATTCCTCCAGTTCTTCACATGACAGTCTGTGTTGCCGCAGCTCTGAAGTGGGCAGCCACTCCTGCAGCCTCTTATACCTGTTCCTCTCTTGCAGTAAGTCTGAATTGCTCTCTCAGCTTGACAGGTCAGAGATACATTTTTCCTAATTAAACAAGTCTCTTTGTAAATGGAATTTGGTTACAAATAGACTCAGAATGCAAACATTTAGAAGCAGGCTAGGGGGCATCGCAAACATCTGAGGAATTCCCAGGTCCAGTGTAGTTTGTCCACTCACATGCTGGTTTAGGGCATGGGTGCTTGAACCCATCTCCTTGCACTTAATAGTGGCACAGATATACCAGGCATCACTTTTTGCCCCATGTAGAAGGGATGCTGCCATGTCACCAGCTGCTAATGACAAAAGCAAGATGAGTGTTAAAGAGTGGTTCATGGAGACCTCAAGTATTTGGGGCATTAATTTAGAAATGGTGCAGATGGAGCTGAGAAGATAAAAGCCTTACTTTTTGTTGTCAATTTAAGTAGATTTCTCTGTAGCTAACACTGCAAAAAAATTTGTTTCTATAAATTCCATAAATGTTACAGCTATGTAAATAAAACCTTTCAAAGACGGATTTATATGGTGTTTCCTAGTACCTGGAGAACCAATTAGAAAGAATGAAATAGTCAGGAAGAGGAATCCTTTGTTTCTTGAACACAACTGGGAGAACTGCCTCTTTCTGAGATGGTTTTTAAAACCATAAAATAATATTTTGGGCTGATAATGGACTCTCAAGGTACCACATTTTAAAAACAAAATATCTAATAATGAGTGTTGTCTGTTTTCCCAGATCTTGATTCAGTTTTATGGTATTCCTTATATTAAAAAGAGATATTAAGTGGTGCTGGCATTGGAATCTCAACAGTCCTAGTGGCATCAGCTAAGCACTGTGGCAGAAGTCACAGGAAGCCTTTACCCAGGCATGAAGATCCTCTCCCTTATGTCCCTCAGGAGCAGAGCCAAACTGAGCTCCTTGCCATCACTAGCCCTGCTCCAGCTGCACAGCCAGCCACCTGGCCATTCTGCCAGCCTCTGAGCTGTGACTGTGTAGAAGCTGTAAACCCCAAAGATGGAGAAGGAATATTTCTTAAGGCTTTTCTTGTCTGCTTCTGCCCACCTGGGAGTCCAGTGTTATAATTTGGTCCATATGTCAGTAGCATGATGCTAAGTAGAGCTTTCTGCCGTAAGTAGCAGATAAATTTTTGGCATGCTTACAGCCATTCTTCCATACATGATTACCATATAGAGGTGATCAAAACCACAGAATTGCTCCATAGAATTTGCTTCATTCTCCTTGAAATAGCTCTTGTAAAGCCTGGCAGTGGCCAGGCCAGGCTGTATGTGACTCAACCATGTACAGGGCTTGCCAGTTTTGCCTTGTTAGGAGGTTTTTCTGTAAATTCAGTGTCTCTTGTCACTTGTCTCATCCTCCTTTAAGTCTGTTGCTGCTGAAAGCAGAGGGATAGAAACCAACCTGGATTTGACAGCAAAATGTATTAATTTTCCTGAAGAATTCAGAATGGTTAATTTAACCTCTTAAAAGACAGTTTACAATATTTAATTAAAAACTGGGTTTTCTGATCAAGGAAAAATATTGATAATGTTCTGAAACATTATTTATACTATATTCTACAATTTTGAGTGGTAAGGGTTTGAATTAGGTCCTCATTTGCAGATGGGATGAGAGAGTGGTTCTGTCTAAGATGGTGTGAGAAATCCTCTCTTTGGAAATGGATATCACTTTCAAGTTAGACATGCCAGACTGAGAGTTCTGGTTCTGTTGTAGGCCAAAGTGAGTCAGAAGCTCATTCCAGGAGAGCAAATGTCAGCTGGACACATCACCAGACAGAAACTTATGTCTTGGGGTTTTTTTTGTTTGTTCCTAAAATCCCTCCTCTCTTCAAATCTGGAACTCACTGTTAAAAAGAATCTGAAAATAATTAGCTCTGAATAATAGTCAGGAGAAAAAAGCACTAGTAAGAAATATTACAAAATGCAGTCTAATAAAATGAGATTTTTAACTGAGAAGCTACATTAAATATGCCATCTCCCCCCACCCTGCAACTCGCTGTTTGAACTACCTTTCAGTATGCAGAGAGGAAAGCTATGGAGAAAGATGAAGGTTGGGAAGATATTAGTGTGTGTACATGGTTTCAAACATCCATTAGATCTGGATACATAATTTCTTTTTAATTTCTAAGCATCAGAGCAGCATAAAAGCATAAATTGGGCATTACTGGAGGGAGATGCCAGCTGAGTAAAGTTTTTGAAGTAATAAGTCTGTACAATATGAAGCCCTTTTGGTAAAGACTACCAAACCACCCAGCTAATTTTCATTTTCCTCCTTCCTTTTCTTTTCATCACCACATGAATTGAAAGTGGAAAACCCCTGTGGTGTGGCAGTGATTAAAACAGTGAGGACAGACCCATAAGCTTGAGCAAGGTCACATACCTTCTGTGATGCAAATAAGTGCCTGCACATCAAAGCTCCATGCTCTTCTAATCCTGTAACAAAATGTTGAATCTAGCTTCAGGATAGGGTGTATTTCTTCGAGTAGCAGGATTCTCTCTGTATTTTCATAGTCATTCTATATGAGGCTGGTATCTGCTCTGAGCAGTTCCCCCAGCAGCGGCAACACGGTCAGTTGCTCTAGTTCATTAGTAATAGAGCTGGCCAAAATGAGAAGAAGGAACTATTGCAGGGTGGATAATATAGAGGTATGAGGGAGAGGACAGCTCTAGACATTGACTCCCTATACCCTCATCTTGTTCTATTCTTTCCCCTTGTCTTCTAAACTCCCTTTCTTCTTCACATGATTTGCTTTATGTAGTAAATTCTTCTTTTCTGAACGTCCACATTCAGCGGTGAGAGTAACAGAAATCTGAAGCAGGGTGTGTGTGTGTGGGAGTGGTCTCAGTCTGTTGCCAAATGCCATCCTGAGCAACCTTGAAGACCTGGTCAAATGCAAAGGTGTCTCACTGAAATGAAACCAAAGAGGAGCAGGACTGGAGAAGGCTTGGAAGTCCCTGAGCTGCGATGGTTGCCTCCATTTTAACAAAGGGAGGACAGTTTCTCTGTTCTCACCATGGCATTGCTTTCCCTGATTTTGCTCTTGCAGGCAATACACCTAGAGCAGAGGGGCAAGAAAATTGCCCTTCTTGGAACTGTTGCAGCTGTGTGACTCTTGGGGTCTCTTCCAGAGCTCTCTTTCCGAGTGTGGATGTGTGGTGGCAGCTTGGAGATTGTTCCCTGCAGTCGAGTGGGACACGTATTCAGGAAGCGCCATCCCTATGACTTTCCGGAGGGCAACGCACTGACTTACATCAAGTAGGTGTTGGGTGGTTCCTGGTAGCAGCCAGGCCACCTTCATGTTGGGCATGTCTAAATAAGTCTGGATTCTTTTTTGTGCTTTTCCCTGGTGACAGAGAACAGCTTGTGGCTGAGCATCTGTTCTCAGGGAAGGATGAGTTGCTGTTTGCTGTGAACAAAACCTGTTCCCTTCTCTGCTGTTGGTATTAGAGTCTCTCATTCCTTCTCAGTCTCTGGTGAGGGGCATGGGGAGCAGTATGCCAGAGAGACACCCTGGCCATTCACAGATGCTGCCCTGTGACATGTGTGGGGGTATCAGCAGACCTTGGATGTCTCTGAGCTGTACGTGCTCTAAGATAAACCCTGAGGGCACCTTCTACTGCAGGACAGATGGGAAGACAAAAGAGATGAGATGAAGTGCTTGACAATGAAAGTGGTCAAGCACTGCTTCAGGACCCCAGAGAGGTGGTGAAATCTCCATCATTAGGGATTTCAAAACTCAACCAATCAAGACCCTGAACAAAATGACCGAATATGAAGCTAGTCTGATTTGGGTGGGAGGCTAGATGTTAGACAGAGCTGCTTTCCAAGCTGAATTATCCCATAATGTTATTCAAATCTGGGAAAAGGGAATACTGTAAATGAGTGTGATGGTGACATGAGACCTGATGCCTCTGCAGGGGAAGTACATGTGAAAAAGTCATGGTAAACTATGACTAATAAATTTTTAATTTCTGAAGTGTTTGTGCAAGGCTTTGTAGACTTAAAACAGGCAATCTCTCTCCATCCATGCTGCCTACTCAGTTTCATGTTTGGGACTGTCCTCCACTACCTCCTAGCAGACAGGCCTTGGGTCTGCCCACCCAGTGCCTGCTGACTGGGAGGGTGGGTTCTGCAGCACAGCTTCTCCTCAGCACAGCATCTGCTCACCCCCGTGCAGGAACACCAAGCGCACAGCAGAGGTGTGGATGGATGAATACAAGCAGTACTACTATGAGGCCCGGCCATCAGCCATTGGCAAGTCGTTTGGAAGGTAAGCTGCCCCAGACTTCCAGTAGGAGGGCTCGGGTAAACCCCTTGGTAGCAAGAAACCATTTTAGGTCTTCTCTGGGGCTAAGTGTGAGAAATAGAGGTGCTCTGAATGCCTGGTTTGCCAGGGAGGTTGTAGCTTGAGTGTCTGGCTGATGGGGTTTACTTCTAATTCACTTAATTTTTTTCCCTGGTAACACTGCATAAATCATTTGTTAGCAGAAGGCCAAAGGGATCTGTAATGAAATGAAAAGATCAGACATTTGAAGAGGCTAGACAGGAATATTTCTCTATCACAGCATGCAGCTGTTGTGGAAATGTGAGCTGTATATTGAGCTGAAGTTCCTGTGCAGATGCAGAATCCCAGGTCAAGCGTGGCTGGCTGGCACATGGGACATGTTGCACTTGGTGCACTCCCCACTTTCCTGATGGATGGAGGCTGGTTTGCCTGTTTGTAGGGCAGGAGCGAGCATGGTTGATGGTAAGATTTAGAAACACAATCTGCAGAATTGTGCTTCTTACAGCACCTTTGCTAAAGCTCTTTTCAGGCCATGTGGGATTCACGGTTACCAGCTTAACAGTTCTCTGTGACCCAGAAATCAGTGATGGACACCAAATCTGGGATGAGAGGAGAGCTTGCTGTCTGTGCTCTCAAACCCCTATGACTCCCAAATAAATGTAGAAAAACCCAGGAGTGCTGCATTTCTGTGGGTTATCTGCCTCACAAAAGGCTATTGTATCAGTGTAAGGACTTGGTAAATGTGGTTGTAGCTCAGACGTGTAGCTGTTTGCACAGGATAATGATGCATCTCCTATTTATTTATGACAACCAGATCACTTTTCTTGCTGTACACTTTGCTTTATTACCATGATGCATTACATATCTTCATAAAAGTAGCTTTGCCTACCTGATTTATCAGTCCTTGAGTTGACTGCAGCAGCTGGACTGGGACCACATAGCAAGTAACCCTGCTGCTTGTGAAGGAAACCAAACTATTGCATATTGTGTGTGGATATATTACTCATGTGTTTTAGTGGCAAAATCTTCAGTTCTTGTTTACACAAACTACCTAGTGACTTTACTGGCAGCATTGGCTGAATAAAAGCTGGAGCAGAGCATAAGACTTTGATTTTGGGCAATTTCCTGTAGTAACAGCTCTGTGAACCTGCATTAAATCTAGATTTTAGCGTGCAAATGGCTTTGACAACATCACTGACAGTTGGCCCTAAAATGGATCCTCCTTCCCCTCAATTTTGGTGTGAATATAAAATCTCAGAACATTCCCCTGAAGTATGTGGCCTCATGTATATGTACAGTGGCCTCTGTGGGCTGAGGATGGAGTGGTACATGGGTACCATTGAAATTCCTTCCCAACACACAAATGTAGTGTTACAGTCTAAAGACAAGAATTCCTGGTTTCGCTGCTCAGTAGGGACTGCTGGAGGGAAATCCTCTTCTTCAGCCAGCTAAACCAAACAAATCAGCTGTGGGAGGACTGCCACAGCAGGTAGCTACTGAGATGTTAAGTTAATCTCCCCTTTTACTTCTACCCTTTCTCCAAACCTCTTAAAAAAAAAATAATTAAGTTCTTCAGGTCTCAGTTCTCCAACCTGAGCCTAGACCTGCCATGAGCTAGAGACATGCTTTAGCACATACAGATGAATCATCTGTATGTACCTGAGCACAAACACTTTCTAGGTCTTTTCAGCAGCTGATTGTTGTGCTGGTTTCATGGTATGCCTCTACAGGGGTGCCCAGAGGCACAAACGCTTTCCTGAACTTACAGCAATTTTACTGCAATGTATTATTTAACAAGGTAGGACCTGGGCACTGCCATTGCTGTGAGCCAAAGGAAGTGCGGGAGCAGCTCTCTGAAGGTGTTTGGTTTCCACTTCTATTTCCTGCCACTTGCCTCTCTCCTCGTCTTCACCTCAGGTCACTGCTAGTGCTCTGAACCCAGCAACGATTATGTGGGAGAATGAGTAATGGCAAAAAGTAATGTAATTTCCCTCAAACCTCCTGGCCAGTCTTCATTGTTCCCCTCCCTCCTGTTCACTGCCTTATTCTCAGCAAACTGCCTGTGTTTCCAGTGTTGCAGACCGGGTGGAGTTGCGACACAAACTGAAGTGTAAATCCTTCCAGTGGTATCTGGAGAATGTCTACCCTGAGCTCAAGTGAGTCAGTTCTTCACTTGTAGAAATCTCGGAGGGATTTGGGAGGTGGGTCACAATGAGAAGATGAACCTTAACAGCAGTGGGCAAAACAGTGGGTTTGGAAAAGGTTTTCTCTATTCTTCTTTTTGGTGAGAAACTTTGTGTGTTTTCCTGGCTTATATTATCACAGCTCTGCAAAAGGTGTGCCTTCTGTTCTGCCCCACACAGCTGTCCCTTGGAGATGTGCAACAGTGGTGTTTTCAGAGATGTGGGGTGGAGACAAGTGCCAGTGCATGACACCTCTCCATTTTCACTTGGTCTCTGCCCACTGGATGCTCTGTCTGGAGGAAGTTGAGCCAAGTAGAACTGGACAGTCTCAGCACAGAGGTTTGGGTGGTTCAGAGAAGGCTCTAAGGAATGCCAGAACCAGCTGTCCCTGTGGCTTCCCCTGCCTTGGGTCAGGACACAGTAGTGTTGTGTCCTTGCTCAGCTGGGAGGCAGCCTGGGTAGAGCTGTGTTGTTGACATGTGCAAACCAGCACACATCTTTACACCTCAGTAAAGGCAACACATTTTTACGTCTCAGTTTGTGGCTGGGAGTGGAGGCTGAAATATCCAGCTGTAGTCTGGTCTTGACAGATCTTTCCTGCATCCCTACCAATGAAGCAAGAATATGTGTTAGCTGGGGAGAAGACTGGAAAAGGGGGAGGAAGAAGCAGAAGAAAGCAGTATAGATGTGGCTTTTTGCTGGAAAGAGCCTCTTTCAGAATCATTGCATTAAACTGCTTAGGGTACCCCTAAAGATCCTGGTATGCCTTCTGAAACAAACCAGTCCTCTGACCAAGTTCTCACTTGATTTTTGCCTCCTCCAGATATTTCCAGTGGACAGCATGATATTGTTCATTTTCTGTCAAATATAGGGAACTGTTTCAGTCAGGGCCAATTAAGCCCTTATAAATGTGGAAGTATTTTGGTCTTTTCCCTGTATCAAGTACCATGCAACTGTCATTTTACTTCAAGGATTCCTGAAAAAGAGTTGATTCCAGGAATAATTAGACAAGGAGAAAACTGTCTGGAGTCTCAGGCACAGGATATCACAGGGAATGTGCTGGCTGGCGTGGGAAACTGTAAAGGGACGGTGAACAATCCACCAGTCACTCAGGTAAGGCAGGCTTCAGTTTGGTGCTTTGTTCCTGCTCCTACTCTTTTCATTTCCTGAATGAAGAGGCATCTCTGGCCTTGGTGGGTTGATATGGAGGAAGGAAGAATTTGACCCTGTAATGATTTTAGTAGTAAGCAGAAAAAGAAGCCCATCTCGCAGAGCTCTGTTAGCTCAACAGACTCAGCAGTCAGGCATAGAATGTGAAGGTTTTCATCACTCAGGGACAAGAAGTGTTTAGATGCTCAAGGAGTGACAGATTCATTGAGAATCATTTGGGGCTGTGCATGGCTAGTACCCTGACATGTGGGTATGAGATTTTTTGGGATTAGAAGCATTCCTTACTCTGCCAGCTCAGCTGTAGCCACAGATGACTTGAATTGTGCTGTATTGCAGATGTATTCCAATATAAAACACAAATGGAGTTTAAGTAGCTGACCCCAGTGGCAGTAATGTGGAGCAGTTCTCCTAAGTGCATTGGAGCTGTGATGGTATATACAAGCTGAAGATCTGCATTCAGACTCTCTGTTGGTGGCTGAAAGCAGCAGGAAAGCAGCTTGAGAAAGTGAAGGGTCACAGTAGGGTATTTTATGCCAGAAAATACATATTCACATCTGTTAACTGTTGGAAACTACTTTGCAGCCAGCATTCAGTGCACCATTTAACCTGACTCATTGCTCTGTGTCATTAGCATTTGAAATCTCTGAAACTTACTTCATTTTGTATTTCTTCCTTGGAAAAAGTAGACTAGGAACATTTGATTGGAACAGGTATCCATCTAGTCAGAGGAAGGAAAAAATTAATCAACTTGTCCCTTATGCATGCTGGTGATATATGGATATGCTTGCATGTGTTTTGCTTTGCTTAATAATCTATAGGTCCCAGACACCTGTTAGAGAATGTCTGCTGTGTAAAATATGCAGAAGCAGTTGCACGTCATGTATGTCAGGGCTTGGGATCCTCCTTGCTTTGTAGGCCTGAATCTGTAAAGTTGCAGAGCCAAGAATTGTGTGGGATCCAGAGTTAATCAGACACCTCAGATAGTGAGGGGAGCCAGCTGCAGGTTTTGAAATGGTCATGATGCACCAAGGCTGAGCTTAAACTTCTGATCAGGTAATATCTGTTGTGGTAGTCTTTCCAGGGAGCCTTTTGTGGGAAGAGAACAAAAGATTAAGGTTTTTAAAATGTCTTGATAAAAAAAGCTCTCTTCCCCCTCATCTGATTACTGTTGAGATCCTAATGGAACCTTTCTTTGTCTTATTCCAAAGGAGTGGATATTCAGTGACCCTTCAATTAGACAGCAGGACAAGTGTCTTTCCATTGCCTCCTTCTCTACTGGTTCTCAAATCACACTGGAAGCTTGCAATCAAAAAGATGGCAGACAGGTGGGTAGCTGTGCACCTCTTTCTAATGCCTTCATTGCCACATGCCAGTGTACTTACATCAGTGCAGGCAGCAGGGGCAAGCCCAGTACTATCACAGCACATTAAAGTCCTTTCCATCTCTGCATCTCCCTCTGTGGTTTGTTTTGTAAGCTTGGATGTGTGACAGAGTGTGTGACCAAGCAAGAAGTGCAGTATGTGGGTGTCTGCTCTGCCTGGGCCCTTGGCAGCATGGTTGGCTCCAGCTCAGCAGCACCCTAACTTTGCTTCTTATCGCTGGCCAGGGTCTGTGTACAGACCACGAACAGGACGGGACCGTGAGGAACGCACCTCGAGCTGTTATTTTCCAGCATCGGTCTCATTACATGGTTATGACAATGGGAAGATGCCAGCAGCTCACATCCCCGGCAGCAAAGAACTTCATGTGGCAACTTACTTCAAAAGTTTTTTGACCAATCACACAAAGCAAAAGCATATTGACAGTAGATTTATGCACCCACTACAAGCACACGTACCTTTTATGAAAAAAATGCTTGCTTATTTTACATACAATACCTGCTTGTAAGTCTTAAGATACATTGCACAGAGCTCCATTATTAAGCTTAGAACTTGCTAATATCTTGCTAGATATACTTTTCTGTAGCTTAGGGAGTTATTCTATCCAAGTATTAATACAGACTATTGTTTTATTTGTCCTTACTTTTCTACTTCTTTTATAACTTTTCTGCTGACAAATCTTATGGCTACTGCTTAGCTCTAACCACAGTTCTGCTGTCTCTGAGGCCTGCCTTTTGTAACTTGCCCAAAACCCTCTGATTCCCACACTTCTTGGGTGAGTTTATGCGAAGCCAGACTGGTGCATGGATGAAACATAGCACCAAAGTGAGGTAGGTGAGGCAACTGCTTTGAGATACCTAAGGGAAGGGTGGTGTGTGCTAACATTTTTTTATTTAATTTGAAGTGAGATACCTGTGTTGTTCTTTGTGCTGTCTTTGGACATGTGAGCAGACCTTTAAAACTGAGTGCATGCAACTCATTTAAGAGATACTGACTTACAAAAAGCACTGTGTGCTGCTCCCTGAGGAAAAATACACAGCAGCAATGTTCCCAACAAAATGCAGCTCATGTTGTTTCCAAGATGTGCATCCCTGATCTGTCAAGACAAATGAATCCTTTTGCCTTACAACACTAGGTAAGAGATGGCCTCTGCAATGGTGAGGGTGCCCTCAACAGAGATGTGATGTGCCTTTTTGTCAGAACTGGGCAAAGCACAAAAGGGAGCAACACAACACTGGCAGACAGCAGATTGGACTTGTTTCATGCCTAGCTCCCATGCTTCCCCCTACACCAAGAGGGAACAATTTTTCTGTCATCTAAGGCTGTGCTGATTCTGTGCTTTTCTGACAGGTCTGTAAACATGTCAAAGACGGCCCAGAGACAGCTCAGCTTTGACCAGTTTTCAGCAGCATTTTATTTTTTCAGTACTTTCTAATGCAATATGAATCCTTGAAATTAGTTCTTCCTGAAAGAAATCACTGAAATTCAGTCCTGCCCATTTATGGAAAACCTGTGTAGACTTTCCTCTGGAGGGTTGGTTAATGCAGAAATGCCTTGAAGAGTTGTCACCATGAATACACTGGGAAAACTCTGAGTTTGGATTAATCTGCAAGGGTATCCCAGATGGGCTGTGCTTGCCTGCTCCTTTTTCTTGTTGGCAATCGCTCATCCCATTTCTGTGTAATTAGGTCACTTAGTTTCTCCTTATGTGCCTCGCAGTATTTTCCTCCCTGGCAGCTGAGAGGACTTCAGCAGCTGCCAAAATCAGCTGTCTTTCCCTGCTTCCTCTGCCACAGAAGGACAGGGGTCCCTCAAGGAGGGTGGAGTCCAAGCTGCATCAGAACCCAGAAGAGTGATTAATCCACAGTAACACAAGCAGGCTTATTTTGCTGCTGGAATAGGATTTATTGAGTCTTGATGTGTTGATTATATACAGGCTCATTATAAAGACATACACACACTTAAGAGTGTGAGCTGTTGTTTTCCATTACCTTATGAGAGCAAACTGCACTTACACCAAGGACTTGACCTAGCAGATGATTTAACCAACTGACTATAAGCAAGGATTTTGTTTAAGCATTTGAAATAATTAGAGACTGATTTGAATTGCAGCTGCCATTCCAAACTGCCTTGCAGCTGAATGGATAAGGTGAAGTGAAGCAGGAGAAATGTATTTGAGTTCTTAATGTAATTTGGTTTTAAATGCTCTTAAACGTTGGGGTCCTTTTTGTAGTCTCAAACTCCCATTTCAGATTTCTGCTTATAAAGCCAATTCTACTTGGAATGCTCAAGTTTGTTGTGTTCCTAGGGAATGTTGTTATGATTCTTTCTTTCCATAAACACAACAGTAATTGTTGTTAACACTGACATTAGATTTTAATTAGCTAGAAGTCTGTCATCTTGCAAATTATTCCATTCTCTCTCTTCCTGATATTTGAGAGGTTGATTTCCAAGAAAGAGCAAAGCTGGAAGGAACAAATTCCCTCAGTTGCCCTACAGCTTGCCTTGTCTCCCTATGGACACTCACAGCCCAAAGTACAAGTGCTGGGGGAGAGCAGTGCTTCCACACTGCTTGAGTGTACCCACTTCTCAGTTCAAGTGGGCTTCTCAGAAAGTCAGAGGAGCTGAATGAAAGGTGGAGGGAGGGCAGCTGAGCTACTTTGCAGGCTGGAAATGAGAAGTAAGAGCCCTGAGTATGTGATGTGGTCTGAGTAGAGGAGGGTGAGCCATGGGCAACTTGCATCACACACCCACACACATATCCTGAGTAATGGAAGCCCAGCTTTGAGCATCTTTCCTGTCACTGTCATCAGAGATCCATGATGAAAGATGTTTGGATTTTTCTGGATGTAGATTTCATGTCTGTGTCTGAGTCGTGAAAAAGCAACATTTCTGAGAAAAAATGGTATATGTGGTAGCTTTTGGTTTTTAGTGTCCCAGGATTAGATTGGTTAGATCATTATGACAGCACCATACAGCTCCTAAACTTGGTTTCTGCTTTCAAATATACTGAAGCTGTGCTCATGCTACACAGCTGTTCTGCATTAAGCATGTCCCAAGGACAGATAATTTTTTGTTTGAGTGCTAACACCAGTCCCTCTGACATACAGGTAATACTCTAGCAGAGGTTTTAAGGTATTGTGATTTGTGTTTAGAGTATTTAGTTTACCTCAAAATAAGTCTAGAATTTTGCAAGCAGGAGGACATGAGACAATAGTCACACTTCAGATGATTTTTGGTGCTGTCAGACTCCCTTGGGTTGAAAGAAACCAGAAATGAAATCTATTTGGCAACGTGATCCTGTTGATCATTCAACAGCAACAGCTGGCACTGCTAACAGAAGACCAGCCAAAAGCTATTCTGCATAATCAGAGCTAGATTTCAAACCAGATGGATGTTATCCATAATGTTATTTGGAGAATAGCATTTTTAGTGGAATGCACAATAAATTATTGCCTTCAGCTTTGTTTTTTGGCTCTGACTGACAGTAGGAGTGGCGTTTTAATTTCTGTTATAGTGAGGACAAATAGAAGGCAAAGTGAGAGTCAGACCCTAAAACAAGAAACTGAAAATGAGAAACATTGGCACAATATTTCCCAACAGAACAAGAAATGCTGAGAAATCCTATTAAACAGCTATATTTCATTAAAATGTTCTGAAGGAATGTGACCTCAGCCTGAAAATGAGGACACTGAGTGTTCCTGTGAGACAAACACTATTTGAAATCCTGTGTCCCTTTGTATGTCATTGGGAATTTTTTCCCACTTCTCAGTGAATATTACCTGAAGATGAATGCAACTTTATATAGAGTATCCAAAAAGAAAAGCAGAGAAAGCCTGTATATTTTGAAAGCACCTGACTCAGCACCTTCATGATAATAAGTAGGTAAAACAATACTGGCAATATGCCATACCTTGAGAGTAGTTTTCAGGAGACAAGAGTTTCTCTTAGTTGTGATTTAGTTTTACAAATTTAAGTCCTCTAAAAAAGACAGTACTTGCTGGATGCTGATGTGAGCTTCTCCATCTTCTGTCCCTGCTCATATATTTAAAATTTAGTGTTCAAGGCCAGCTTCAGGCTGCCCATGGCTCTGCAAATACACTCAATTACAATTACAACATCCTTGGCTACTCCTGTTATCAGCTCTCCATACATTTATGTTTGAAGTGTCTCAGTTCTCATGAACAAAATTTGCCTTTCTCAGCTGTGCTTCTTTGAACTTGGCCAATTCCATTGTTTCACAGTTAGGATTTTGAGAGAAACGCTGCACTGCCTGGATTACTGAGGGTTAAAAGAAAACTTTTGGTTACCTTGAAAAATTAAAATTAGACTAGTATAAATAATTTCAGCCCTTGTATATATTGGATAGAAGAAGACTGACAATTTCTGACTTTTCTCTTAGCTATTGCATGTGGAATGCTTCTATCCAGCCACCTAAAATGAATTTGAAATTATAGTTGAAAAAGTGGGAAAGAGAAATTTGCAAAAAACTGGGGGGAATTTTGAGTTGACACTGGGGAAGAGGATCAAGACACAATATTTCAAAGAAAAAATTGATTTTTTTTTTTCTGCCTCCATCTTCACTCTGAACATACTCTGAGCAGTAAACTGTATTATCTCCATCTGCATGAGAAAGGGAGAGCAAAGAGGATTTTTCAAGCCAAAATTTCTCAGATTGTGCAATGCCTGTATCTTTCAAAAACTCTCCTTCCACATACAGTCCAGTCATAATGTCTGAGTGTAGAAGAGAGGACTCCCTGTAATGTGCATGCAGGAGGTGTCTACTCTTTATTTTTTTGCTAAAGATGGTCATTACTGCTATCATTTAAAACTTAGCAGTCCAAGCTTCCCTTGTGGTCTGTGGAGAAAGCTGGGCCCTCCCAGAATGGGCCTTTACCTTGGACCCCTCCATAACTATGTCACCAGGTAACTAGTTTAGAATAAATTGCTCATTTCTGAGGTGGCTGACAGTGGGAGATGAGTGTCCTATCTCCTGTTCCTATCCCTTCCTACCACCCACCCTCCTGAGAGCTCTCAGATATGATGTATTCCTGCAGGGCAGGATGTTGGGCTGTCTTTGATAATCCTGTGGTCTGCAGTCAGGTCTGAAAGGTTCAGGTGAACTCAGGGGAGTTGCTCTGGTATCTCAAAAAAGCAAAGTAGGATCAGAAGAGGTAAAATTTATCATTCTGAAAATAGCCCATGCATTTGAGATGAGAGGCCCTACTTTGGCTTTTACTGTTAGTATGCTTTATAACAGCTTATATACATGGCATCTTCTTGCAGCCCAGATGAGCCTCACCTTCAACTTTCACCTTCTCTCCTCC